CATGTTTGTAAAGCTGTTAATATGTGAGATACTGTAAATAACCCATATTCTATATCGGCCTCTGAGCACCACAGGCCTGACCTCCTGCTGTTGCTGCTGCCGTTACCGTGAGGCGAGGGGGCCTGTATGTCCATATTGTAAATATCTGTTCACGTGTTGCTTTGTCTCCTGTTCTCTCCTGCCCTCCTCGGTGTAAATACTCCAGGACTCGCAGCTCTCTGTAGCTTATCTGTTTCCTTGTAAGTTATGAAACTGGTGGGACTGCATGGGAATTATTTTTTGGATCAATGTCATAGCCCATCCCCACACCAGAGTTTTATAAGAATTTTGTACAGTCTTTGTGAAAAATAAATATGAAGTGAATAAACCACCTGGTCTGGGTTTGCACCAGCAGCAGCCCCTCTTGGGGTTGTGCTCCTGCTGTGCAGGGGCTGTATGCAGAGGGGAGGAAGGGGTGGGGTGAAATGTACTTTGTGGTCCAGGAAACTTCAGTAATGAAGCCAGCTCTGCCCGCACTGCTCCCTGAGCCTGGATGCTGGCCTAGTGTCTGAGCTCACTCTGGGTACGAGCTGCTTTTTGCCCTTGGAGGGCTGCAGCTGTACCTGAGCAGGTTCTGGTGGGGAGGGCAGCAAAACACAGGCTGGGCCCTTCATCATGCCCTGTGATCAGTGGTGGGTGAGGTGGGATACGGAAAAAAGAGGGCAGGGGGTGCTTCAGAGTTATGCGTTCTCTTTAGTAGAGCAACCTCTTGCTCCCTGGACGGGGTGGAGTGCTGTTGGACATGGCAATGGCTGTTGGAAAAGGGGTGTCCACGTGCCCACGTTTGGCTGTCAAATGCACGCCCCGCGGCCTGTCTGTGCCTTTTTGGCTCTTACCAGCTCTGCAGCGAGGCTGGGGCCTTGGCTTGGGCTTTTCCCTGGAAATGGCTGGGGATGTTTCAGAGTGGATGGCAGCTCTGTGCAGACGCTTTGCCAGCATCTCTGGGAGTATCTCACTGGGGTGGCATCAGCAACGGAGCAGAGATGCGCTTGTGGTCTGTTCTGTGGGAGCTTATCACTTTGCCATGGCACCGCCTGTCTGTGGCAGACTGAATCATAGAATCATTTGGTTGGAAAAGACCTTTCAAATCATCGCGAGTCCAAACATACCTGTCTACCACTAAACCCTGTCCCTAAGCACCTCGTCTGCCTGGCTG